AAACAAGCAGTCAAATAGAGTTTCACTGTTAAATGCAATTCTTCAAATAAACGTCAATAGCTTCGGTTAGCTTACGTGTGCCAAGATCGTTCAAATGGATACCATCATGAGCTAACATATTTCGAGTCTGAACACCCTCTGAATCATCAGGTCGCCAGCCATGAAAGATACGTTTAGAAAATGACTTTATCGGAATTGCTGCAGATAAAAAGAAGTGAACGGATTAAAGCAGCTGTTACTAATCTTGAAAAATGGTTTATATTCGTTTTGAATACTGCTTTTATCTTAAACTCAAGCACGCCGTAAGTGGATAACACATAAAGCATGTATACACTGTGAAAATTAGAGACACTAGTATCGCAGAACTGTAAAAGATATGAAAAATTCATAATTTTAATTGAATTTTCCAGTGCTCTATATATTGAAAGCAATTGTGAGCTGCCAGAATGCTCTAATCGAGTAGAAAATGCGTATTTAATGAGATCGACAAGTGCTCCAGGAGAAAAATCTTGAATGCAGATCTTGATAAATCTTTAAAGATTTATCAAATTTCGCCCAAGAGCTTTCAAGAACTTGTGCAGCTTTATCGAAATCTGTCAAGATTCTGAATGGAGGGCACTGCTGCAGATTTTCCACAAGTTTTGTATCAGAATCTGTCGTGATATGTGTTGAGCAGATCTTGTCAAGATATTTCAAGAGCTCTGAAATGACTAATTTAATACGCAATAATCAGAACCTTCATTAACAGATTTGGAAATTTGAAAAAAAATCTTAAACTTTTTCTACTTTATATTTTTATTTTTTTCTGCTGTGTCACTACAGTGCAATACATACAGTACTAGAGCTGTTGAAAGTGCACGAGCAACCATACATTCAAACACAATGTTTGCGTTTCACTTTCAAAATTTTCAATGTTCTGTAGTGCAAGTATTTACTCTTATATATGCAAGAACAATGTCAAACAAGATGGTGATTGAAAGAACAACACATTTATTTGTCTCCTCTCTCGACCAACAGAATTTTAGAAGTCCTCTGCACTGTAGAGGACACTGATTCCTCAAAAAAACTTGATAAGATCTTGACAAGAATTGTTGAACATTCTTTGAGATCAAGAAACTTCACAGATCTTGTGCAGATCTAACTTTCTACAGGACATGGGTGCATCTTATTTTCAAAATAGCCGAAGTGCATTGATACTTATCTTTTTATACACCTGGGATCTGGGAATTTTTGAGAGTTCATATTTAGTTTTTTCAGATATAAACGCTATTTTCTATCATTTTACAGCTGCTCCGTTGTTTAATTTTTTTTCGATAAACTAGCGACACACAATGCGTCGGTGACCTGATGAGAAGATCCCAAAGAGGCTGACAGTACTTCTAAGCGATTCGCTATGATAGATTATCCATATTCTGTAAGTTTTATTATCTGTAGAATGACTCTTTTATGCATTATCAACGTCGCTGATTTCTGGCGATATCTTTCTCTGGGCTACAGAAAAAGTTTGCTTAGTTTTTTTCTCTCTGCAGCAGTATACATATTTCAAGTCATCTCTTGGAATATTTTCTCTCTCATAGTTAAAAAGCAATTTTTTATGCTTCTGGCTTATGATTCGCTTATCCATCATAAAAGAGACAAAGGAAAAACATAATAGAATTGACACAACAAGGAACATAAAGTGTCATCAACTTTTTTTAGTGACAATCATAACCATTATGTAGTAAATTAAATTTGACTATTCGTTGATTTAGTTCATCAACAACGTATAAATTAAAATCTTTATCAAATTTAACTTGTCTAGGGCCAAAAAGCTGATCTAGTCGCATTCCTATCGTGCCGTTGACATCTCCAGCTATTGTTCTTCCTTCAGTGGCATTTACTAACCATTGTTGTATACGGTTATTATTAGTATCAGCAATATATATCGTTCCGCCATCTGTTTCATCAATATAAACACCATGAGGCCCGTCTAATTGATTTTTCAAAGAACCTGCCCCATTTCCACCAGCAACTAATATACCTTGTTGTGAATTTTTTATCCATTTAACAATTCGATGATTCCCTGTATCAGCAATATAAACTGTTAAATTTCGATCAATATAAAAACCCAGTGGATAATTTAAGTCAGATAATGTTTCACCTCCACCATTATTTCCACCGGCAATTTGCAGTGGATTTTCAGTTGTACCATTTCTATATAGTAATACACGACTATGACCTGCATCTAATACATATAACTCATTGTTTTGTTGATCATAATAAACTGATGCATAATAAACAATGTCAGGAGCAGATCCATCCGCCGATACATTAGCAATTGTTGTACCATTTAATGGTAATGATGTCTGAATAAGTGAATATTTTTGTATGCGATAGTTTGATGTATCGCAAACATATAATTGTTGATTTATTTCATCTAAATAAAGTCCCATCGGATTCATTAATTGACTGGATAAATCACCTCCTAAAATACTGTTACCCACTATTAATTGTCCAATACTAGCATTTTGTTTCCATAAAACAACACGATTATTATAAAAATCGCTAACGTAAATGTTATAGTATTTATCAATACTAATATCTATGGGATTCTCAAAATATTTTAATGATGGGCCTATAATAGTAATTGATGATCCGGCTACTCTCACACCTGTTCGATTCCATTGAAGGTAATAACAAATACCACTTGTTGTTGTTGTTGTTTGACCTTAAAAGACACATGAGCTTGTCTAAAGATGTTATGCATGTGAAAGGATAAAGCCGGATATGTTCATTTTGACGAAGAGTTGTAGTTTCAATGAGATAAATGGGAAAATAAACAATAACTCTATTCCTGTATACGATATATCTCAATATATCCCAAAATATGTCTGACTAGACATTTTGTTACTTGTACAAGTCTATACAAGACACAAGCTTGTGTCTTGTATTATCCAGTTCGGGCTACTGACCATCGCACACTTTCCTCCACTTGACTCTCGCTTCACTTTGTTCTCTCAGTACGAAACGTTCATGCAAGGATCTGATATTTACTTTTTGGATTCGAACTGAGGACTTCCTAACGAGGGAAGGTATCCAAGTGTGACGCGCCGTTTTGAATCGGATGGGTACCAGTTTGTAGAGCTCGAGGAGCTGATTCTAATCGTATATAGCGTTCTTCCCGATGGGACCTTATACTAAGAAGCAAAGCCAAATGGTCCCTATTTCCGTTCCAGAAGTCGAGGCACTCGGTTGTTTTTGAATAACTTTTGATGAGAATAAGATGGAGACTGTGGTTTTCGCCTTTCGAAAGAGGAGACTTGGATACATGTTTCCATAAACAAAATTATTTTCAGAGGAGGTTTTTGAAGTAGGTTTCTTAGGAGATCTGTGGAAAACCAGCCCGTCTGTAATGATTTTCCAATAGGATTGTATTGCTTTTTTCTCATGAACTGATAGCTCAGGATGTTCTCTTCAAAATGGGAATAAAGTGAGACCTTATTTTTCCATGGTTCGGGCGTTGTATCAGATTCCCTACGAGTCCCATGACTGGCACCCGGTGACTATTGGTAGCCTTAAAGACGGATGGACTATGGGTAATCGACTATGCTGAGTCTTGTGGCAATATTTGTTTTAGAAAAAGTTTTAAAAATCTACCGAAAAGCGAGTTTACCCTAATTT